TTAATCTATGGGAAACTCTAAGCCTACAGATAGTATAAGAATAGTAAATTAAATGGATTTATGGAATAGTACTCATACATAATCCTTCTTGAAAATACATCAACGTGTTAAACATTTTAGCACAGATGGAGATTTGGCTTGGAGGGAGTTTTTGAGTAAAGTTGTGCAGAAAGATGGTCTTGTACTCTGTACAATTGTCATGTTTTCCAGAGATGCCTTTTCTTGTCTTCCTGAAAATTAGAGGGATTTCCTACTCTTTAGAACTAGACCAACATGAATCTATAAGGAAAGATATACCTATTGAAAATCTCCACTAGAATTTCTATAGGCACCTCAAACTCAGCCAGTCCACAGTGGGATTTGTTATCTTTTCCTTAAAGCTTGCCTTTTTCATCCCAAGCTAGAAATCTAGGATTCTTCCCAGGCACTCTCCTTTCTGTAACCTCCACCAAGACCTGTTTATTAAACCTCTAAATATCCCCATGCTCTTCTATATTCCCTTCTGCCTTTGGAGTGATGCTTTCAAGTTTGACTGCATGTTAGAATTCACTAGCTTTCAAAAATTCTGATGCCCAGGCTGCACTCATCATTAAGACAGAATCCCTGAGGTGATCCCTAGTATTAGTATTTTTTTAAACTCTCTAAGTGATTCCAGTGCCCAGCCAAGACCACTGTTAGGGCTTCATCGTTTCTCAATGGATTAATACAAAATAATAATAATTGGCCCCTAAGATCTTAATTTTTAGCCATTTTCTCTTATTTCATTTCTCTTTTCTAATTCAGCATCAATAAATATTTGCCTTCAATGTTGGGGGAGATAAATTTCCCTCAGTAACATGAGAGAAAACAGGGAGGCTATTACTTTATTTTGGTCTCTCAAATTAAAGTCCTTCTATTTGACAACTGGTTCTTTAAGGCAAGAAGGAGACAAACAAGTTAACAGGTGGGAAAGGCAGAGAGAACAATAGGTGGAAAGGTTCTAGCAAGAAAAAACATGTCATGTTTAAGATAACTAGAGGCTGAAGCATAGTAAGAGGGAAGAGTGTATGGAGATGGAGTTTAGAGACGTAGATGAGAGCCAGATTAAGAACTTTTAGGATGTGATAAGGAGAATTCTAAATGATTGTTAATGATGTGGTATGAAGCAAAAGATATTTAAGCAAAGCAATATCTGATTTACCTGTGATAGCTTTATCTTTGATCACTCTGGTTATTTTGTGGATCAGATTGTAGCAGATGGAGAGCGGAAGCAGGGAGACCAATAGGAGGTTATTTTAATAATTCAATAAAGATATCATAGTTATTTAAAACAAAATGGAGACTGAAGACAAATGGATAGTTTGACTGTTTGTCTTAGAATTATAATTGGTAAGACCTGCAAGGAACAGAATAATAGTGGGAAATGAGAGAGAACCATGGGGTTACTATAATAGCTACTCCTTATTGTGTACATACTACATGACAGGCCTTGTTCTGATTGTTTTATGAGTATTAAGCTACTTAATTATCATGAGCTCCCAAAGGTAGGTACTGTTGTTATCCCATTAACAAATTAGGCCTGAGAGCTTAAGTAATTTGTTCAGTTACATAGCTAGTAAGTGGCAGAGCTGGGATTTGGGCCATTCAGGCGATCTGGCTCCAGAACTCATAACCCTCTCCCACACCTACCCCAGCCCCCTCCAATGGTCTCATAGTCCAAGTGAAAATTTCTTTAGTTACACTTAAGTTCCCTGCAGTGGCACAGATCCTCTCTATTCTCCCTTCCTTTCTTCCTTATTTTTTCTCTCTCTTATTTAACTTTTTTTAAAAAAAATATTTTTAGTTGTAAATGGATCATTTTATTTATTTATTTATTTATTTATTTATTTATATTTGGTGCTGAGGATCAAACCTAGGGCCTCACACATGCCAGGCAATTGCTCTACCACTGAGCCACAACTCCAGCCTTTTTTTTTTTTTTAATGCCGCCTAACTTTGTAGGAGGCACTTTGCCTACTCTATACTTTTCTATATAGAGCACTATATTATTACTTATAGGTCTTTCCCACCAAACTTTGAAGGCATAGAGCTTAGTGCATGACACCTAAGAGAGAAGAAGAAAGCAACCAAAGAAGTCTAGTTACGCACACATGACATGCCTTCCTTAGGTAGTGGGAGATACACACATAGTAAACATTGTCTTTGCCTTCAAGCACCTCATAAACTTGTCAGGGAAACTGACATGAAGAAAATCACAGTAATATGAGGGCCAAAAGTGATATAAATGACAAAGTAACATTAATTTAGTTTGTGGTTATCAGAGGCAGGAAACTTGACCTTAGGGTAATTTCACTGGGAGAAAAATACAATCAGGAATGGCAGATTGGGTCTTTATTCTCTGTTGTCATCCACATGGTTTAGGAAGAAGTCTTGGGTATCTTCCTTGCCCAGGAAGACTTTGGAGATTGTCATATGGATGACTGGAATGTGCTACTTCCTTCTCTTCTTCCTCCTCCTCCTTCTTCTTCTCCTTCCTTTCTTCCCTCCTCTTTCTCCCCCTCTCTCTCCTCCTTCTTCTTCTTCACCAGGGACTGACCCCAGAGGTACTTAAACATTTCAAAACCTTTGTATTTTTTATTTTCAGAAAGGCTCTTGCTAAGTTGCATAGGGCCTCACTAAGTTGCTGAGACTGGCTTTGAATTTGTAATCCCCAGCCTCCCGATTTGTTGGGATTACAGGCATGCACCACCACACCTGGTGGAATGTACTACTTTTTAACTTCTCACCATTACCTATCCTTTTGTGACTACATACATTGATTTCTAGGTTGGTTCAATTCCCTTCCCAGTAGGGTCATAGGAATTTCTTCTTATACAATTACCTCCTTTTTCTCATCTATGAGGTTTCAGAGTTTCAGTTCTAGTTGTAGTACCCTGGGAAAGTTACAGAATTTCTATGACCCAAATGCCAGGAACAGTGTGTAAGACTGTGAATATTGTGCTGTGTTACTGTGTGCCATGGACATATACCACACTGTGCCAAAGCCCCATGGGTGTATACCACAGTGGTCCAGCTCAATGTTCTCTGCCATAAAATGGGGATAAAAATAGTATTTAGCCCATAGGGTTGTTCTCAGGACTAAATGAATACAAACACAAGCCTGAAGGCTTGGTATGTTGTGAATCATCAGTAAATGTTAGCTGCTCTTACTGGGTAAAGGGTAGCTTGCTAGAGTAAGATTATTCCAACTAGAATTTTTAAAATAGGGTTGCCTGTATCCCTATGTGGGCCAGGACCATACTGTGAACCTGGGGAGGAGAGGCCTTTTTGTCTTCCAAATTGAGAACCTATGTCACTTGCTGGAAAAGTCCTTCTAGTACCTAAAAGCTGAACTTCTGTGATCATTTATCCATCCCTCCTACAGTCCCAGCTTTCTCCCACTGTCCACCTTCTACAGGGAAAATAGATATTATACTCGTCACTAAATCTGGCCCAAGGTGCTCTTTCTTGGGGGAGGGTTAGACTCCGTGAAGGGCCACTTAAGCAGTCTTCAGGGTAATGTTTTCCAAATCATAAGCTAGAATCATGGAGTACCTGTTAAAATAGATTCTTGGGTTTCATCTCAGACTAATACAATCATTATCCATGGGCTGGGAGCCTGGGATCTAATTTTTAACAAGTTCTTTAGGTAATTCATACTAAATGTTTGAGAACCACAGCTGAAGAGGGTCAGCCATTATGATAGTACCCAACTTCAAGAAGTTTTCTTCCAGTATATCTCCCACTGGGCCTTTCACAGAGTACTAGGGGAAAGGAAGGTGTTCTTTTCTCTTCATGGGACCTATGCTATCAGAGGCACCTTATTTATCTCCCCCTCACACATTCTCTGAACATTTCCCCTAATCTTTTCTTGATGGAACCTGAATCCTCAGGCCACTGTTCCCAATTTCTTACTTCAGTACTTCTCAATTACTTTCCCTGTTTGGGTGACAAGCTCACTCTGTGCTGGTGACCTGAACTGGAAATTCCCAGAGTCCCCTATAACTAGAGCAGGTTAGACTCACTCTGTGCTGAACAGACTGAATTGGCTCACTAGATCCACAGTGGCAGGTTGCGCTGGGAGCAGGATGTCAGTGGGTGTTAAGCAATGACTTACAGTGACCATATGTCTCAGTTTGCTCAGGACAGCCAATGACTTATGCCTGATGTGGGGGCTTAATTATAAATAGTATCCCCTTTCACTCTCCTGAGGCTAGATTAGACAACAGATTTCATGATCTTCCTGGTAATGCATGTCATATCATGGCCAACAGTTGCAATGTTGTAGTTCCTGGATTGTGCCTAAACCATCCTCTTTCCTCCCTCTACAGCTCCCAGTTCATTGCCACAGCTTCTTCATGCTCTTGAGATTTCCTTAATGAATTCACTTTGATATAATTCTCTGGGACTAAGTTAAGGGATTTATAAGAAAGAATCATGAAACTTGTTGCCATATTTATTGTCTCTCTGAAAATATCTTTTTTTTTAAGCACCTGGTATAGTGTTTGCCTTGTTTATTATCCCATTTGTTTTTGTCTTCTGGATACTAATTGTGGAACTGACAGTATTTCCCTTGGCTGTGAGAAAGGTTGGTGCCATATATGTCGTCTCCTGCTGGCCTGTGTATAAAATCTTACAGGATATATTTTATATACTTAACTCACTCCTGGATTAAGTCATCTGTTTCCATTTCCTCAATAATTTCAGATTAAATTTTCAGGTACTATATTATATGTATTTGTAATTCATTCTTTATCATTTTTGAAATGAGATATTTTTACATTGTTTATACATACCTACAAACTGGTACTGATAGCCAATTATATAATTGAAAGAGACTGAAGTTAAATATATACAAAGAATACTTTCCTCACTTAGAAAATATGAATAGCATTTTAGGTAATGCTGGCTTTAACCTTCTTCAACCACATAATAAACTAGAGAATGAAAAGATTTCCAAACAAAAGCAAACAAACACGGGATTACATTAACTTTCAAGCTGGAACATTTTTAGATATGACCCAGAACCCTAATACCAAATAATGCAATGAAGACCATTCACTACCAGAATTGCATTAGACTAATTAGATAGTGTCCACGGTGTTCACAGTGAAATTCTGCACTGTTGGAGAAGAAAAGAAGAGGAAAAGAAATGGTTAGGGGAATCAGATTTGGGAATGCATAGTCCAAGTGAATAATGATGACCCATGAGGAGTCTTTGTCAGAAGCACATGGCCTGTGACAGTCCCCTAGGGCGGAAGAATGACTACTCTTCCTGTTGCCCTTGATAATGTTGTGGAAGCCTGGAAGACTGGCACCCTGTGGTTTGCAGCTAATATAAAGCTGAATAAAGAAATTTACCACAATCAAATCACTGAGGAATGTATTTACAACTGATTTATTTTGGAGGACACACTGAGTTTACAAGACTCAAAGATGGATAGTCTCTGGACTATTTGTTGAGTTATTTTATGGTTGAATTAGGAATCTAGCTAAATGTGCTTCAAACATTTTTTTAATTAAAAAAAATTACTGAGACTGTGCTAAATGTGGTGGTTCTTATTTTTTTCCAGAATAAATATATATGTTTTACTTTCTTGGGATAGAAATCTTTTTTTTGGGGGGGAGGGGGATGGAAATCTTACTTAAAATAAAAAAAAATTTAAATACTTTAGGGGAAGTAATAAATAAAAGCATTTTGCACAATGCCTGATACTTAGTAATAGTTCAGGAAATATTAACTATTACCAATTGTGTTATTTTAAGATAAGTGAATATTAGATTGAATGGCTTTTATTTGAAGACAATATATTATAGAAAGTTTTTATGAAAGGGAAAAACATCATTTTTAGGAGTTCTATTTCACAGTTTTCTTTTCCTTTAAAATTTATGTTTAATATTTGTGTTTAATATTTGAGCACTGAATAGGTAAGAAGATCCAGGCATTTAAGGAGGGAGAAACCATCAGAGAAAGGCAACTAAGTAGAAAAAACCTCTGCTGGAGCTGGACAATATATTTTTTTTTTCCAGAGTGACCATCTTTCACCCTTTTTTTTCTGCCATCCATTCTGCTCAATGGAACTGTCACTTTAGTTCCATATGTGCTAGCCAGGAAACTCATCAGCAATTATCAAAAACAATTCTGTTTCTAGTATGGCTCTAATAAAAATCCCATCTACCTTTGCCAGGGGAATCCCATTAAAAATATGTTAAAGGAAGACATATTTAAACAGTTATTTCTTAGAAAATGTGGTCAGAACCCAAAATGGCTAATTGAAAGTCTGTGTGATATTAAAAAATAGGCAAGATAGGACATATAATACCTTGAATACATCGGCTGATAGGTATTTAAGACCAGAGGGGATAATTTGGGACCCTTTGTTAACTTGTTGAAGTTTATATTCGGGTGTTTTCAAAAAGCATCACAAGTTTGGAGCTAAAATGACTGTGCCAAGCCAACATTCCTATCAATGATCAAAGAGATTTTAAAATAGTTGGATATCTAAGCAAGGGAGAAAAATATCTAAAGTCTCAGGGCCAGAGATCTGTATTCAATTTCAAATTGTTTCTAGAGTTTTAATATCCTGTGATAAAAGCGAAACTTGGCACAATTGATCCCAAGAACATGAAGGGAAAACTGAACTATAGAGCTGTAACTTTGAAATGGCGTAGTTCAAATAAAAATTCCCCTACATGAAAGTTGCTACTATAATTTATTTTTTTACCAGGAGGAAGAGGATGCTCAATCTAGATTTTATATAATATTAGTTCCATACACGCACAAGTTCTACTAAATTATCTTCTCTATGTTCAATGTTGAATAGAAAAAGAATAAACTGATAGCAAACATTTTGGGGATTCAGAAACCATACTTAAAGATGATCTGTTTTCAGAAATACAACTTTGCAACACAAATTCAAGAATTTTAATGACTAAAGGAGATGATGGATCATAAAGAGATATTTCTTTTGTTTCTACCTTAATACTTCACTGATTTATGGACCTAATAGGAAAACAAGTGAGGAATTCTTGTTTTCCTTTAAAGTAAACAGCGGACTCCCCTGATATTTTACATATTGAAGCCTTCGGAAATCTGAAGTAGAGTAGAAGTTCTTTGTAATCCTTTTTGTGGTACGGGGATTGAACTCAGTGCTTTACCACTGAGCTATGTCTATAGCCCTTTTAGTGTTATTGTTATTATTTATTTTAAGACAAGGTCTTGCTAATTTGCCTAGGCTGGCCTCAAACTAACAATCTTCCTGCTGTAGCCTATAAGGTCACAGTCGTGCACCACAGTGCTCATGCTCTTCTTTCTCCAACCCCTACTCCTACCTCATGCCCATCTAACAATGATAACTAACTACTCTTTTTTAAAAAAATTTTTTAGTTGCCAATGGACCTTTATTATTTATTTATTTATATAATAATATATAAAGAATATTGCTGAGAATCGAACCCAAAGCCTCACACATGCTAGGCAGGAGTTCTCCCAACTGAGCCACACACCCAGCCCTACTATTTACTCATAATTATACATCTATTGTATATTTGTATTCATTTTTTCAGAAGCAATTTCCAAACTGAAACACCTAAGTATGTGAGTCTATGTGTTTACATTAAAAAACCTTAAATAAACAGAACTTCATAAGAGGATATTTTAACAGGAGGTAATAATAACATTAATTCAAAAAATTCATTTTTTAAAAAGAACATCCTAGAAGGGTAACCATGTATAATACTAAAGGCAGAGCACTTAAGTAGGTCATGGTGGCACACACCTGTAATCCCAGTGGCTGGGGAGGCTGAGACAGGAGGATCATAAGTCCAAAGCCAGCCTCAGCAACTCAGCAAGGCCCTAAGCAATGCAGTGAGACCCTGTCTCTAAATAAAATACAAAAAAAAAAAATGGACTGGGGATGTGGCTCAGTGGTTAAGTGCCCCTGAGTTCAATCCCTGGTACCAAAAGGAAAAAAGAAAAAGAAAAGAAAAAGGGCGAGAACTTAAAAAGCTATCTTAGAGAGTTTGACTTTGGAGTTTTGCAAATAGACAAACATACAGTAATAATTCTAGATATGCCTGTATTGTGACTTCTAATTTGTCCCTCTGTTTGACCTGGCCAGTCCCATCCCTGATCCTGCTCAGATTGTGTCAACTCTATGCCCTTGCCTTTCAATAACTGACCTTTGGACAAGATGTTTGTCAGTACTCAGGAATCTGGTTCTAGTTCTTAGCCATCAGTGGTTCCCTACCTCTAGTCCTCTTACCCACCCTCTGGCCTCAATTTTACCCTGTATTGATGGGTTCTTGGCCCCATCCCACAACTCAGAGAACATAGAATATACAACTAAATGATAGATTTTCTAATCATTGTTATCAAACCCAATATTGCAGACTATCTGTGGACATTTAATAAGGATAAGTATTTGTGTATATGTATTATGCACACATATATATTCCTACATATCCATATACATTAATATACACAAAAATCTAAATAGTTTACAATTTTGATAGATATAACATAAATCAAGCATGTCTTTAACTCATCTCAATCTAAATAGTTCACAATTTTGATATATATAACATAAATCAAGCATGTCTTTAACTCATCTCTTCCTTCTGTCCTCCCCACCTTGTTTTAAAGTAGGAGATTGATATTTGTTTATTTATTCTCTTCCCCCCTGTTGTATTCATTTAATTAACAAGTCAGACCACAGGAGAAAACAAATCAGATACAGTCCATGTCTGAACACTCACAGAATTTAGAGTAAGACCTTGAGTTGGATACTTGGCCTATTACAAATCTATATATTGCAAAGATATACGCCATACTGGCCTAGAGCCCTCAAAGTTACCTGTAATTTCATGACTTCGCCAGTATGTTGCTGCTCCCAGTCTGTCTCCACCCTTGATCCCATTTCCAGCTGGGTCTCCATCACCCTCCCACAAATACTGTGTTCTTTTATCCCTTTTCCATTCTACACTGCTAGTCATATCAATTCCCATCAGACTTCTTTTTCTGTTCTTTCTTCTAAACTTCAGAAAAAATGATGATCCAGTACTCTGTAATTGCGTACTACTGCATAACCTCAGATTAGCAATCCTGTTATTCATTTGTTCTTGATTCCAAGGTACAGTTCCTACCATAGCTATTCCCAGTATTTCTCACTCTTCTAAGTCCTGATGGTCTACATTCTTTCTTGCATTTTATTTAACAATATTAATTTAGAGTCAACAATATGCCATGCACTATGCTAGACAGTGGGTATTACAATAGGGAACAAAAGCAAATTCAGTCCCTGCCAGTGTTGGTTAATTTTTGGTTAACACACACACACACACACACAAACACACATGCATGATGTAACCAATTTATAAATTAAAAAAGGTTTATTTTGACTCACAGTTTTGGAGGTTACAAGCCATAATTGGTTGGCACTGTTGATTTGGGCCTGTGGTGATGTAGCACATTATGGAGGGAGCATGTGGTGAAGCAAAACTGCTCATCTCATGGCTGAGAAACAAGGAGAAAGAGAGAGACAAAGGGGCCAGAGACCCACAATCCCCTTCAGGGGCATGCCCCCAACAACCTAAAGACCTCCCATTAGGCCTCACCTCTCAAAGGTTCTACCACCTCTCAATAACACTACCGTGGGACCATGCCTTTAATACATGGGCGTTTGGGGGATGCTTATCTAAACCACAGCACTGCCCTCACAAATGTTATGGTCTAATAAGGGAAGCTGGGGTAGCTCCTCCCACTTCCTGTTTTATTGAGAACCTCTAGCCCTCTGCCTCTCGGCTCTTTCTCCCTGGCATGTCACTCCGCCTCCTCTTCAAGTCTGTCTGTCTTCCTTTTTCAAAGGGAGAACCAATCTTATTTTCTCATTAGGCTTTGAATTCATTTCCCTTCCCTCTTCCAAGTTCTAACTGCTTATGGTTCTCAATATTTTCTTTCTTTTTAAAAGAAATGTTTATTTTTTAGTTGTAGTTGCACTCAATACCTTTATTTTATTTTCATGTGGTGCTGAGGATCCAACCCAATTCCTCACACATGCTAGGTGAGCGCTCTGCCCCAGCCCGGTTCTCAATATTTTCTATTCTGAAATAATTGATATTTTATTTATCTTACACCCTTTAAACAGAATGTATTAAACACAAAACTGTATTTTGACTCTCTTTGATGAAAGAAAGAAATACTGAGTACATTTGCTAATATCTTCAAACTTCAATTTGGCAGTTTCTTTAAGTGATATCTTATATTTTTATCCTTTTGAAAATTGTGTCCTTTCCTCAAATGATCAGGATGTGAGCCAATCAACTGACATCCCTGGACGTAGATTAAACATTCTGTGAGTGGCTCTTCAGCAGATATGTCAGCATCATTTCTTTTAAAATGATTTTATTTGGATTGTGTTCCAGGTACTTTTTATTTTGCTATGGAAAATCCCACACATCTAAGTTTGGTTTTTAGGTGTTTAATCTTAGCTTAACTAAGAACTGTAAAGAAAAAATTCTTCCATTTTCTGGCCTACTAATTTTGGGTTGGTAAGGAAAAGTGTTTTAGTATCTAGGAATCTTTATATAAAATATCCTGTTAGATACAGCAGCTACTACTTATACTTGAAAAGCTCTCTCACTATAGGTGATGTCATCCATGACTTTATTCGGGTTATAACCTGGGAAATCCTGAGTGGATGGTTCCTTAGTTCCAGCGTCTTATTTTTCAGAAAGAGGGTGTTAGAAATTTCCCCTTAGGAAAACATCTGGTTCCTCTTTTTAAAATAATGCAAAAAGGGCATCACGGAAAACAATTTTGGGAAGGTGATGAGAACATCCCTGATAGTTCTGCTTCATTGCTGCTTTTCAAGGCAGCATTTCTTCTTCAGAATAGGTGAACAAGAAGCTCAAATATATCATTTCTCTATAGCTTTCAACACAGTCTGACAATGAGCTATTATAGAGATTTGTGGGAAAACTGAGAAATCAATCCTAGCAAACAGGTAAGCCCTGAAAATGGTTAAGGTCTGAGTTCTGCACTACAGTGAGAGTCCAAGAGCTCAGTTCTGTTAAAGGAGGCTGTCTTCATTCTTGAAGGTATGTGTTATGGGAGGTGGAAGTTGGTGTCTGCTGCAGGTACAATACACCTCCCTTTCTTTGGGTCAGAGGAGAGCCTTCACTTTTGACCCCACCTCTGCCATATACTCAGCGCCCCAGTTGTACCTTCTCTTTCTTCTTCATAGGTGGCAATTTCCCAGAGCTTCAAAGTACTGAGGACCTCCCAGTGGGAAGCAGGTTCAGGTGGGGTAGGAGGCAGTGTTGGAACTGAGAGAGCCATAGAGACTAACTAAAGCAGAGGAGTTAGCTTCTGTCAGAGACAGAGCAACAGTGGTAAGTTTCTAGTCTAGGTGGCAGTGTATAGAAAAGTACTTTTAGATACCAATATTAACATTTCAAGATGGCAAATGCTTGTGCAAAGCTTACATCAGGAAGGCCCTTTCATTCTGGAAGCTAGTTATAGCCCCATAGCCTCACCCAGGTGAGGGTGTCATAAGGGACTAAAGACCCCAGATGATATAATTATACTGCAGAGGGCTTTAGTTCTGGTAAGGGCATGGGCAAAAAGTGTGTGAGGTAAATGTAGGAATCTGGTATTTGGGTGAAAAACTCTTGGATCGCTTGATTATGGAGCAATAGTTGGTTAGGATGCTGAGAACCCTTTCCTAAGCACAGGGTAGATATGACTAACTCCAAATTCCTCTAGAGCTGTCCTGGCTGCTACTTTTTCATTGGCCATGGGAGGAGGGTAGAACTGCTTACAGGTACTGAAGTACCCATTCATCCAGAACAACCAGCACAAAACAAAGTGGGAACAAAGGTCGATAGTTTTTATTTTTACAAAAGGGAACGATCACCAATATACATTTTATTAGATATGAAAAAAGGGAATAATCACCTTTTGATATTTTTGTCTTTGTTCACAGTGAGCTGTCATTAATGGTTTACCTGTTCAGCATCTTTGTGCTTAGAAGCAGAATCTGATTTATTTAGGACTATATTTCCCTCCCTCACTCTTGGTTCATAAGATTAAAGTTATGACCTAAAGGGGTGATCATCTGACCTTTGCCTGGCTTATAAGTGCTGCATACAGTGATTATTTCAGGGATGGGTATAGGACCTAACTTGTCCATTACAAGTTAGTTCTAAGATTTTCACTGGAACAACTAGGAAACTCCTGGTACCTCTTATTAATGGTAAAACTGAAGTTGCTAGAAGCCAGTATGTAGAAAAAGTCTGTAAGAAAAGGAAACCAACATAGAAAAGTGGGTGTGGTGGAATGGAAAAAAAGTATCTTGATGACATTGGGTAAGTCTCTGGACTTCCCAATAACACAAAACAATAAATTTCCCCTTTGATTTCTATCTCTCTGGCTTGTGAAGTCAAAGCGAGCTGAATAGTATGTTTGCCCTTTCAGTTTCTAACTCTCATTCTTCTTACTCCTTTCCACAGCTCCTACAGCCCATTGAAACTTGACCTCTGCCCAGCTCTCCACCTTCATTTCTCTCCACAGTTCTGCTGATACTTTCTCTATAGACACACACACAAATGTGAAAGGGGCAAGCTGGCTCTGAAGCTCTGAAGACCACTCCCTTGCAGATTCCCCCCTCTCCCCAGGGAACCTTCCTTTCACTTCTAAATGCTTTAGTCTCTGAGTCTTCCTTTCACGTCAATCTGTCTATCTCCATCTGTGGCTTCTCCATTTTTCTACTCTTTAGAATCCTGGTGGTCATCTAAGACAGGTTTATGAAGCACCTCCTGAATAGGCTAAGTGCTGGTATTCATTGGGGATGCCCACATTCACAGCCCCTACCACCTTGGACTCACAGTCCAGGAGAGAACACAGACTCATGTAGTTTTATCAAATCACAATTTGGAGAGACTCCAAGCAGCTGCCCATTTGACCTTTGATTTCACATAATGAAGTCATCATCATTCGTGTATTAGCTTTGTGTCACAATAATGAGATAAGCACATTATAAGGAGAAAAGATTTCCATTAGCTCACAGTTTTGGAGGTTCCAGTCCATAATAGGTTGGGCTTGTGACAAGGCAGCACATCATGGCAGGGACACAGAGCAAAACCACTCACCTCAAGCCCAGGGAGAAAAAAAGTGAGGAGAATTAAAATACCAGGTTCCTACTCTCCCTTTTGAGAGCATACCCCAGTGACCTAAAGACCTCTATTAGGCCATACCTCTTAAAGTTTCCACCACCTCCCCATAGCAGCACACTGGGGACCAAACTGTAACACATGAGCCTTTGGGGGACACTGAAGATCCAAACTAACAATTCTCTTCATAGTCACATTTTCCCATTGCAACTGCTTTCAAGATATCTTTTTTTAGAATATATATATATATATATATATATATATATATATATATATATATATATTGCAAAATTTGTAAGGAACAGAAGGATAGGGTGAAAAGTCTCTGTTTTACTCCCATTGCTCAGTTCTCATCCCTTCACCCCATATCTCCTAGTAACTACTATTACCAGTTTCTTATGTATTGATCTAAAGCAACTTTGCACAAACAAATATATGTGTGTACATATATGTAAATATGTGTATGTGTATGCATGTCATATCTACATCTAACTCTATCTCTATATTTATATCTATATCTATGTATCTCTCTATATATATCTTTCCCAGTTCTCTCCTCTCTTCTTATTCAGTGCTAGTCTTTGCATGTTGCTTTTTCACTCAGGAATATATCTAGAACAATATATGAGTACCTATACAGTCACCCTGTTATTTTTAATGTCTGCAAATATTTAACTGTACAGACATGCTATATATTACTTAATCTGTTAGTTCACCTTGTTTCCAATATTATGCTTCTACAAACATATTTGCAATAATTTTCTGTTATATATTATTTCATAGACTTTTTAAATTTTCTGTAGAATAAATTCCTCAAAGTAGAATTGCTGAGTCAAAGGCTATGCCCATTTTCTATATTGATATCTGTTATCAAATTATCTTCCAAAATGACCACATACATCACTTTGATAAGAGAGTCTCACAGTGTATGAGTGTGTGTTTTCTAATATCCTCTTTAATAACATATATAAATTAAACATTTTGATCTTTGCAAATCTATTAGGTGAAAATGCTATCTCATGGTCATTTTTACTTGGGAACACTATGAGTGTATCTTTTTGTTTTTAAAACTCATTTGAATTTGCTTTCCTGAAACTCTGCATGGCCTTTGGCCATTTTTCTATTAGATTGGTGACCTTTATTGATTGATGTAAGTTGTTTATATTTTATGGAATTTAGCCTCTTTTCTGCAGCATGTATTACACTTCTTTTCTGGATAACTATTTATTTTTTTAACTTTGTTTATATATTTTTTAACTTCCTCTGTCTTGTGTATATTTTCCAAGCACATCATACTTTTTAATCTTTTCTTTTTCATTTTCAGTATATTGCCAATTCTTAAAATTTGTTCCTTCTTATTATTTCTATGATGGGTAAGTAAAACCAAATAGGCCCTTCATAAAAAATATAAGCAGCTAATAATGATATAAAAAATTCAACCTCACAGA